TAAACTTCTTACCTAAAGAAACATTTTAAAATAAAGTTTCACATAAAAATTACTTACCTAAAAAGGAAAATATTAATGAAAATAAATAAAAATGCAATTACATTGAAAGTTGAAATTATTTGTTGCATAAAAATAATAAAAATATTTATTTTTAAAAATAAACTACATATTACATATAAATATTTCAGAAACTTAATACTTGATACGTTAGTATATAACGATAATATAATTCAATAATTCAAATACATAATAAATAAAATTTATGATTAAATTATTTTTAAACGAAAGATAAATGATTAATCATTATAAATATAATAAATTACATAATTAATAATATTTTTGATTTATAAAAAGGAATCTTTAGATTTTTTATTTTTTTTTTCAAAAATAAAAAATTTAGTTAAGAAAATAAAATATAATGTAACTTTTTCTAATTTGTAATTATTATTAAAATAGAATTACTGTAATAACAGCATACAAAAGTTTATTTTTAAAGGTATTGAATAAATTTTATTTTTTAACTGAAAAAAAGTTTGAAAAATGTTAAAGATAGATAGATAGATATGGCATTGTTAAAGTGATAATCATACTTTGAATAAAAAATTGTTTTTATTTATTAAAAAATCCAAATAAATAATGCAGTACAAAAAATTTTGGACATATGACGCATCTATTCCACAGGCGGATTCATAAATTGCAACGTCGGAATCTACTTATAATACATTCTGACCTTATGGATATTGACACGTTACTAATGATCCTATCTGAGATGTCTTTCCCTGAAATAACGTTGTTGAAAACGAGAAAGAGACCTTTTAACATAAATGATATATATTTCACTTCATACGAATGCTTTGTTGGATCTTTTAAGGACGTTGCCTCCATTTCGATTCATGTTGCAGATCCTACTTTGTCCAAACCTTTTTCTTTCATGTCGAGAAAAAGAAGCCCATGATTTATCATTACGAAGTATACCCGAACGTTATCAGTTACAAAGGTAGTTCATTACAACAATTGTTATCTTGCGGAATAAGACGTCTTCGAATTAAAAAACACCCAGGTCAACACGGAAAATATGTGAATTTCAGATTAGTCAAAACCAATAACGATGGATGAATCTACGTTTGTCCTCCGCTTTCTTATCAGGGTCTTTTATCTTTATCGGGTCATAATCATTATCAAAAGTCATCATCAAAATCATCGTCCTTATCGTGGTCCATATCATTGCAGTCTTTGTCTTTATTGACATCCTTGTCAATTTCGAAGTCAATGTCTTTACCCATCCTGACTTCTCGACCTTACAAATTCGAAATTTCTTCCAGCACAACCGAACGACATATCGTTTTGTTTATAAAAAAATTTAAAGAGATAAAAATTTTCATTTTCGCGTTACCTATCTACAGTATCTATTCATTGTTAAGAATAAATTTTTACGACTATAACTGGCCAATGCATGGCCGGTGATAGATGAAAACTTTAAACGGAAATATTTGTAGAGGGGAATTTATTAGCCGTTGAACGAATGCCTTATTTTAGACAAATAAATCTCACGGAGAAAGAATTTGATTTATTTGGCAGTCACGTGGGCGGTAAATATGACTTCTTGCATCAGTGTGCCAATCTCAATCAAAAAAAGTTAACACGAAATTTTAATTTGTCCGGACTTATATTTACCCATACAATAATAAGGAAAAGGTTAAAGAGAAATGTAAATAATGTGTACTACTAAACCTTCAAAGAAATAGTAACTTTGTGATTTTTTGTGTCACTTAACCCCAAATTTTTAATTTAAATATTTTACAACTGAAAACAATCAAAAAAATGAATCGGGGAAAGGGGGGAATCACCATATCGGCAATAGCTTACAAACATGACATGCCATTTACCCCTGAAATGAAATTTCCCACGGTTTTTATAGTTTCAAAGAATATAAATAAAAACTGATATATCCAAAATTTTTGAAAAATAAAAATAAAATAATTATGATTCATTCATATCTGATTAATTCATGCCGTATTCCTCTTTTTCGTACTCGATACAGTAGCTCCTTTAATAGAGCTAACATTCGAGGATTAAATACAATTGCGCTACGCAGAGAAGATAAGAGCCGATGGGAACGTAGAGTTGCTTTAATACCTGATGATGTTTCGAAATTAATCAAAGAAACTGGTGTGAAAGTATATGTGCAGCCGTGTAATAAACGTGTTTTCAATGATGAGAAATATCTGAAAGTAATGATTTAATTTTTATCACGTTTTCCTTTTTCTTTTCCTTTTTTTAAAAATGTATTAAGTTGGTATTTGGATCTATGTTAGGCTGGTGCGATAGTTCAAGAAGATATTTCAGATGCTGATATCATCATGGGAATCAAAGAAATTCCGATCAAAAATTTAATTCCAAATAAAACCCATGTTTTCTTTTCTCACACGCACAAAGGACAGAAATATAATATGCCAATGTTACAAGAAATTCTCGATAAGGTTAAATAAATATTCTATCCATTCTTAGTAACTCTATAAATCACAAGACTAATATCTGTATCACATCACGTGATAAATTGCAAATGTTCAGAAAGTACGATTAATTGATTATGAATTAATGACGAACGAAAATAAGAAGCGTCTGGTGTTATTTGGAATTCACGCCGGTTACGCAGGTAGGAATCAACCCGAATACGTTTGTTTAGAAGATGCGAAAATTTTTCTCAAGTGACTTTTTTATAGGGATGATCGACGGACTTCACGGATTGGGACTACGACTTCTGGGAATGGGTTATAATACGCCATTCATGGTATTTAAAAAAGGATTAAAAAAATTTTCACTTTATTGTTATTAACGAACAGTATTTAATCACTTCATAGCATGTCTCTATGTCTCATTCGTACAAATCCCTCGATGATGCAAATTCGTCGATTAAAAGAGTAAGCGAATCAATTGTTGATGAAGGATTGCCTAAAAGTTTTGGTCCGATGACGTTTGTATTTACAGGGACCGGAAACGTTTCCAACGTAAAGATTGAATTCTTATTATTATCATTATTATCGTCATTATTATTAAATTAAAATTCGCGTGTTCTAATTTTTAAGGGGGCACAAGTGATATTCAAAAATTTGCCTCATGAGTACGTCAAAGTTAAAGATTTAAAAGAATGCACCTTAGCGTCGCGTTAGTAGCAATTCGAATTTTCTTGCGAAAATTTGTTTGTTGGTGATATATTATTTACACCGTCTTTTTTGTTTGTTAAATAGATAATTATGGAAACAAGAAAGTTTATGGTTGTCAGGTTGAGCTACATGACTATCTTATTCATAAAAATAAAGGAACTTTCGTATCAAAAAGTGATTACTATGCCAATCCTAATCAATACGTATCTGAATTTCACACGAAGGTACTCATTAAAAATGATCCTTTTCATTCCTCTATACGTAACAAAAAAAAAAAAATTATTATTATTTTTTTTTAATAGATTGCCCCATACACTACCATGCTTATTCATGGATCTTATTGGGATTCACGATATCCGAGATTGTTAACTAATGAACACTTGAAAGCGATTCAAATGGACCCAAATAACAAATATAGATTCTTAGCTGTTGCCGATATTAGCTGTGATATAAAAGTAAGGTTGACGCATAATAAGGATGATCTTTTGTAACCTTAACTAACTTTGGCTTTCTTTCAGGGCGCGTTGGAATTTCTTTCTCATTCAACCACGATTGATGATCCATTCTATTATGTGGATCTGGTTAATAACAAGGAACATAAAAAGTTGAGATCATATTCTTGCATTTCTATCAAAAGAATGCTGCGCCATACAATGCTGATTTATTTTTAATTTTTTTTTTTCCCTTCTGTTAGTGATGAAGGAAAAGGAACGCAAATCATGGCAGTTGATATTCTCCCTACAGAAATTCCATTTGAAAGCAGCAAACATTTCAGTAAATCTCTTTATCCACTAATGAGCGATTTGGTAAATGATGATAATTCCGTAACAGAACATTTTTTTTTTATTATTATCGTATTATTTGACATTTTTTAACATTTTCGATTTAGATCGATGGAAAATTTGATCAAAATCCCGTACTTGCAGGAGCCACTATCGCTAAAGATGGAGAATTAACGGAATCACACCAAAAATTATATGACTTATTACCGAAAAATAATCATACAAATTCGTCTCAAACTTCTGATTCTCGTAAAGTTAGAAGGAAAAAAATCTTATTGTTGGGGAGTGGATTTGTATCTAAACCTTTTGTAGATTATTTGGGAAAGAAGAAGAATTTATCATTAACAATCGGTAAGTCACGTAATGAGAAGTGATGATTAAAGTTTAGAATGAGATTTCGTTTTAATTGTTTTAATGTACTTTATTACACACAGAAAAGAAGAAACGTCAACATAAATATTAGTTACATTAATAAATCGATTTAATAATAATAATATTTTTGTTTTGTTTAAAATTTTGTACTTGATTTCAATAGAAAATTATCAATAAAAAATTTTTTTATTTTTAGTTCTATTTTTAATTTACTCTGCATTTCTTTAATTAGCTAGTAATATCAAAGCTGAGGCCATTGCTCTAACACGCGGAAATCAAGATATTCAAGTTGTCAATTTAGACGTAAATAGAATAGAAGCCTTATCAAGATTAATTCAAAGTGCCGATGTTGTCATTAGGTAAACCTTTATTTTTTAAATAATAATTCGTAGAGTGCGTGCTTCTTTAATTAATAAAATCATCTAATTTGCGCGGTGTGATCTTTATGTTTAGTTTTATACCAGCACCTTTACATCCAATCGTTGCAGAGACATGTATCGCTCATAAGAAACATATGGTTACAGCTAGTTATATATCGCCCGCAATGAAGGCACTTGATGAAAGGTAAAATAATAATTTTATAATTAGATTATATTTTTTTATAACTTTAAACTTGTTATTGGTAATAGAGCGAAACAAGCTGGAATAACTATTCTTAACGAGATTGGTCTAGATCCGGGGATCGATCATTTATCTGCCATGAAAATTATCGACGAAGTTAAAGCTGAAGGTGGTGAGGCAAGGAATCAGCATTTTTTTTTTTTTTTTAAAAAAAAAAGAGATCATATAATTTCTTTTAAAAAATAAAATAATAATATATGATTATTATTATAATAGATAACATCGTTTATTTCATGGTGCGGAGGGTTACCGGCTCCGGAAGCTTCAAATGTTCCACTCGGTTATAAATTTAGTTGGTCACCAAGAGGCGTTCTTACAGCAGCATTAAACGATGCAAAATTTTGGATGAATGGAAAAGTATGAGTTAATACAATCGTTAAATTTGAACACGCTTACCCAATTAATTAGAATAAATTTTTAATAAATTTAGCATCAAGAAATTTCGGGAAGGGATTTATTAAAATATCATTTTCCAACAGTGCCTATCTACCCCGGATTTGCATTTGAAGGACTTGCGAATAGAGATTCTTTATCATATATTAATACTTATGGATTAGCCCCTTTAAGTACAAAAAGTGCAATGTTTAGAGGAACATTGAGATATAAAGTATAAGAAATTTCTTTTTTTTTTTTGAGGCAATCCTTTTAATACGCGTCAAGAATTTAACATATATATACATATATATATTTTTAATAGGGATTCTCCGATCTTATGTATTCATTTTATAAACTTGGATTTTTAGATAATGAAAATACCAAAAGTGTTAAATATAATACATGGGTAAATATAAACATTCAAATTATTATGATTATTATGATTTATGATTATATTATCATCTATTTTATTATTAATGGTTCTAAAAAAAAAAATAAAATAAATAAAGTCGGATTTCCTCGATCATAACCTTTTTGGATTTTGTGATAACCAACATACGGAAGCTTCAAGGATATCAGCAATTGCTGACAAACTGAATTTACCTAAAAATCATGAAATGGTTGAAAAAGTTGTAGATGTTCTAAAATGGTATTTAGATTTTCTAATTTTTATTTGAGATGATTTTTTCACATTTCTAATTTTTTTAAAAAAAAAAAAATTTTTTCATGTAGGTTTTCTTTGATGCCTGATTCAAGTACACCATTAAATCACTCATGTATACCATCTATGAATAATTTGACGTCGTTTGACGTGTTTTGTTCATTACTTCAACAAAATTTAAAATATAATCCTGGAGAGAGAGATTTGGTAGTATTGCATCATGAATTTGGAATTAAGTTAAAAGATGGGAAAGAGGTATTATTATTATTTTATAAATATATATATATAATTAGAACAAAAGAAAATTCCTTAAATATTAATGTTCTATTATTGTATTTATTTAGCAAACCAAAATATCTACATTAATAAGTTATGGATCCTTTGATACGTATACGGCCATGGCAAAAACTGTCGGATTACCCGCAGCTATAGCAACTGAAATGATTGCAAGAGGAGAGATTAAGGATACTGGCGTTTTAGCGCCAACCTTGTCACATATTTATAATCCTATTTTACAAAAATTAGATGATGAAGGCATTAAAATTGTAGAGAATGTAATTAATAGAGGAATGAATGAAAGTCTAAATTGGAACGGGAGTGGAATTTGGAATTAATTTCTTCTATTTAAATTAAATTATAATAATGTTTTTTTTTTAAATAATAATTTAAAAATGACTCTATAATTAATTATTTCACTATTCATTTCATAATATAAAATTACGTGTGCACTTTTTTCAATGTCATCAAAGAAGCCACCGCAGAAACTGTTAATATAACCATATTAATTAAGATTCCAATTACACAACCAAATTCGATCTTTGATTCATTAAATAATGTCTAGGATCAAAAGGAACCAAATTAGTTTTTAAATAATTTTTTTAAAAAAAAGTCAATAAGGTATTCAAATTTACTCACCATGTAAGAAGCTCCTAAATGACTAAGGACTACCCAAATAATATAATAATATTTTCTTTTTGGATCATTAAATCCTTCAAAAGCAAGCATCATCCATGTTATATGTAATAATATGAATAAACATGTTGTAATAGCTAAGGTAAAAAAAAAAAGGGTAAATATTTAAATATTAAGTAAATAATTATCAAATTAATTAATTACTTACCTCCAACAAAAAATAATGTTCTAGAAGGACACGAAATACATATTAATACTCCCGGTCCAATTGAATTAACCAAAAGAGTTATATACGTCACCAAACCACTCATCAACCCAAATCCCAAACCACTAACTAAAAACAAATATAAATTTTATTTATTAATAAATTATCATTAATGGATAAATCATAAATCATAAATCGGTTTTTGTTTACCGAAAGCAAAAGAAGAACGATTATACGGTGAAGTTGGATTAGTAGATGCGAGAATAAGTCCACTTTCAGCTCGACTATATAGTACATTTTTTTAATTAATCATTAGACAATCTTTATATAACATTTTTTTTTTTAAAAAAAAAAAACTTACCTGATTAATTTATAGAAAAACCAACGAAATAATTCTTGTAATAAAACACTATATAATACCGTAATTACATCTATAGTTCTAGCAGATTTAGCAATAAACCAAATTGAAGAAGCAGCTAATATTGATATCAACCAAAAGAAAGCACTTTAGAAATTAGAAAAAAAGAATTAATTTTCGAAAAAATAAATCGTAAAAGATGAATATCTTTCCAAGTTAATTTAGTTACCTTGATACCATTAAAATAACAAGCTGTGCGTCTTTTGCAATCGTTAAAAAAAAAATGGCAAGTGGAGGTCCATATGCTACATGATAAAATCTTTGAGAAATTTTGTAGGGTGTTTTTTTTTTTAAAAAAAAAAATATTGATTATACTTTACCCGTTAAAGCACAACCAAAAAATGTCAGTAATGTCATTATTGACTAAATGATGTGTAAATAAGTAAATACTTTAAAAAAATACCAATCAGAAAAAAATGTTTGATAAAAAATTTTATTTATTAACCGTCGTTGTCGCACTGTGCGACCTTGAAAATTTAGGGATGTTAACCAAGAAATTACAATTAATTAATTATTATTAAACTTGCCTATTATAATGTTTAATGAGCTACTTAATGAAAATAAAATAATAAACCCTCTTTGGAATCCAAAATTTAAAATTTTAGGGTCCACTAGGACCGGTCTTATACTTTAGCGGTCCACATCAAAAATTGCCGCTTTTTAAGACACATTTTTTTTTTGTTGGGGGTTACTTATTATAGATAAGTGATTAGAGATAGTAATCTCTTAAATCGTAAGGAACCGGCTTAACATCTCTAGCTTTAAGACAATCTTACCGTAATTAAAAAAAGACAGCGACGTGTCATCATGATGAAAGAAATATGTAATAATGGGTGACTGTTCTTATAAAAAAATCCTTTTTTCCAAATAATTTTCTCCAACTATTTGAAAAAATGGGTTCAGTTTATGAAAAACTTGTTGACACTTCACACAATCCCCCATCAACGGTTCATCAACGTCAACGTTTGGATCCTTCCATTAAAGAAAAGGAAAGAATCGAACGTCAAAGTGAAGAAGCAAAAAATGAACCTGATTATTTTGAAAAGACTCGTATCGAACCAATATTTACCAAAGTTGACTCAGAATTGGCTCATTCTGATGAAGAATTTCGTACCAAAAGTAGTCAATTATCGAAAGAAGAAAAATCTTCTGAAGCTGGTAAATTAGGCATTAACGCTAATGGTATGGCCGACACTTTGAATGAAGGGGAAAGAGAAAAAGACCATATTAAAGAAAATATGGGTGTTCCTCAAAGAAATAAAAATGTTGGTGCTGATTAGGTGTTTTAAGGCCACATATCAATTTTAACATTTTGACTTTGGCACGTGACGTGTAACTTCCGTTCTATTTTTATATAAATATTAAACGAATTGTTTTCTTTTAACAATAAATAAAAAAATAAATAAAGCGTAATATTCATTCATTCTCCATTCTGACAAAGTGAGATGCTTAAATAGCATCTCACTTTGATTTGTAGATCTTTTTTGTAAAAGTTATATAAAAAGATTAAAATTTCTTCTTTCATAAAACATTCACGAAAAAGATATCCGGTTTCTTTCAAACCTTAATTATATCATTTCTTTTGACCCTTGTCGATTTATTGATTGTAGAAACCGAAATAAAGTAATTTCTGAATAAAAAAATTTTTACATTATTAAACAAGAAAATAATCCGTCAACTTTTCGAGGATCATAAAATTGACAAAGCCTTATTTCTTGATGAAAGTACTCGTAAACGATATAAGGAATATAAGAATCAACAATACGAATATTCTAATTCTAATAATTGAAAGCTGAATTTGTGTGATCCAACACAAATATATTATCGCAAGACAAAGACATATCGAAAAAACGCGTTCAAGATAGAAACATGGTGAGCCTGTGGAAACTAAATTAGAAAGTCTGAACAAAGATAAAAGAAGAAAATGACATAGTACCCATTGAACATTGATATCAAACTTTTTATTGAAAGCCTTTCATAACCGGAGTTTATATTTCCTTCATTGATATTGTGTAACGTGATTATCTAATCTCCCACAAAATTTTAATTATGGCCCGCATTAAAAAATTATGCTGCTCCTAATGCGGTAAGACGAATAGGAGGGTGGAGGCTACTTCTCCTAATGGCTATATAAGCATGCACAAAAAAAAATTTTTTAACAATTCTAATTTCTTCTTATTAGTTGCTTTTTCGGAATTATCAGGAATCAGTGCAAAAATAAACAAAAAAAATGGACGAGCCTATTGCTTATCAAGGAAATAAAATTATTACTCGTGAATTAAAAAATTGTCCAGATTGTGATGAACCACGCATATCTTTTGGCTTCTGTAAGAAATGCGAAACCAACGCTATGAAGGAAAATTTCATTCATTGGACAACAGAAAATAAAGAAATTGATCAGTTGATCCAATTTACTCAATTAGAGGCCACCCAAACTTGTGATTATTTGGAATTTATCCCTTTCGAGAAATTCGAATTGGTTAAATATATTGGAAGTGGCGGGTTCGGTAGTGTCTATTCAGCGATTTGGATGGAGGGACCTCGTTGGAATTGGGACGATGAGTCCCAAGAGTGGTCTCGTTCAGGACCTATGAATGTTGCTTTAAAAAGGCTTGACAACTCGCAAAACATTTCAAACTCTTATATTGCGAAGGTAATAATAATATTTATATTACTTCGTCTATTACGTATATTTCTCTATTTTTTTTTAAAAAAAAATTTTTGTATAATCAACAGGGCTTTATTGTTTCTTCATCAGATAGGTTTGAAATTAAATTTTTCTTTTTTTTCCTTTTTTAGGTTAAAAAGTATCACAAATGTATACAATCCGCTTCATTAGCAGAAACGTTTGGGATTACAAAGGATCCCACGTCTAACTTTATGATAGTCATGAAATATTATGAAAACGGCAACCTGTACCAATACCTTGATTATAATGGACTTCTATCATGGAGGGATATGATCGATATGTTATGGGGAATTGCCGGAGGTCTTGAAAGAATTCATTTCGAAAAAAAAGTTCATGGAAATCTTCATGGAGGAAACCTACTTATTGAAGACGAAAAAATTTCTACAGATGCTCGTATTGGTGATGTAGGACTTCATGGACCTTGCTTTTATGAAAATGAAATGTCTAATCAAATATATGGGGTCTTGCCATATATTGCGCCGGAAATTTTACGCGGTGAAAGTTACCAGACCGCTTCTGATATTTATTCATTCGGCATTATTATGAATACTCTGGCAACTGGAAAAAGACCTTGGTGTGATAGAGCACATGATCTCAGTTTAGCAAGAGATATTTGTGATGGCAAACAACTTGTGATCCCAGATGATACTCCAAATTTTTATGCGGAATTAATGAGACAATGTTGTGATAATGATCCAAAAAATCGTCCAACTGCATCTTATTTAAATGAAAAATTAGGAGAATGGATTACTTTAATTTGCGATGATCCTAATCCCTCGGATATTTCAGACGAAAGTTCTATTGCTGAAGAAAAAAGGTGGAAAAAGATTTCTCAATTACCTAAAAAACATATTCATTCAAAGATTCTTCCAGAAATTCATCCAGATGCATATTATACAAGTAGACCATTGTATTTCCCTGAATTATGGTAAGATTTCATATCGAAATATTTATCTTATTAAGAAATTTGATTTTTTTATTACTTTACAAGTAGGACACAATTAAAATAGCAAATCCTAAAAGGCTTAGACGCCTATATTTCATTTCGAATGTTCATATTGGCAAAATTGATTATCAAGAATATTTGCTTACAGAATTGGCGAAAATCTTATTTACAAATTCCAATATAATTATGCTTATGATTTTTTTTTTTAAGCTTTATATTATATGATAATACTTATAAGAATAGATTCAAATTATGCCATGTTATCAATTATATTCATTAACTTTGTACATTATTAACCAATTTTTAATCATATGTTAAAAATGTATGTGTTTGTATATATACCAATTAAGACTTATTTAATCAAACCAGTATTTTTTTTTCAGTACCCATTTATCATACAATATTATTGACACAAAAGTGATTTATTATACATATAATTTCTGT